TGGGTGACCAGTTCTGCACTAGAGAGTAAGAGCCTGACTAAGGGACTTTGTTCATTCTCAGACAGTGAAGTGACAAACTCAACAGAAGTCTACAGCAAGTATGTAAAAAGGTTATGAAGAAAGTATCATTGGCAATGCTTGTCACCTAGTTGAATCACCATGTTGCAATAAAACTATGTATGTATCGAACAAAACTACTAGTGAAAGAGAAGAGGACAGAGCAGCTTGACATTAGCAAACCAGTGATATAAATACTTTTTCCACCAGATGAAGTAAAAGAGAGACCAAAGCTTAGTGTGTGCTGAGGAACAGCTGACAAAGGTCCTTATTGATTATAGAGATCTTATTAAAGATTTAGTCTTACAGGGTGGTAAACAAATATACCTCCCTCAAAAGACTTCCTAATGTTTGGTCAGATCTTGCCTCTGCTGTAGAAGAAAACTTTGTGTATCTCACAGCAGTTTGAAGTCAGTTATACTTGCAAAAAGAAATTCTGCCATTTAAAAGAAACAGTTATACATTTGCTCGATGCATATAGGACATGTACATATGTCTGTAAAATTCACAGGAGTCTTCTCCTTGTTGATTAGGCTGAATCTGGACCCTACCACAAGGCCGAGTAATAACTGCAGCAGGACCCCACTGGCTTCTTTGTCTCACTGCCCTTAAATACAGAGGCTCAGTCTACTACCCCATACTGCTTGTGTATGTTTGCAAGGGGCAGGGTCCAAGTAGTCGAGCACCTTCTCTTCCACCTCCTTTCCTTGGCTTTTGTCTCTTACATTGTACTGCTTCGGGTGCTTTTCAGATTCCTCTCCATTACTCAAATCATCTAGCAATAAAATAACCAGAGGAAGTAAAGCTTTCTGCTGGGGTAAAGAGCTAGGTCAGCTCAGCAGACTCCAGCAGGAAGGTGTGCAGAGGAGGAAGTGATAAGACTGCAAGGAAGGGAGGAAAGTGAAGTTAAACCTTCTCCCCTGCAAGAGCAGTGAGCTGTTACACCAGCTTGACTCCCTGTCAGAGGTCAGGCTCACCGTCAGCACATTTCCATGCTCCACACCAGCTGTCTGCAGGATCACTGTATAATGCATAACTCATTATGAATAATTCTAGAAATTTTAATGCACCTAGCAGAACAAAGTGGGCAAACAAAATTAAACAGAAAAGGGCAAAATCCTCCTCACCACACCCAAACTTTGAAATTCTGTTCTCTGCAAAACAGGATGCCAGTTCTCATTAACCACAACTTTGGTGCTTAAAACAATGGTAGTATTTGGAGATAAATTATGGAGCTCATGCTCCTGGGAAAAAAATAATCTAACACACTAACCAAGTTTAATCTAACCCACTAAACACAAACATGGACATCATATAAAAAGGTGTTGGGTAGGCAATTGTAACATACTGAAATGGACTTAATTACTGTACCTCATTACAGCCATAAATGAAATGTAGAAGTCGAGTATTTTATACTTTAAAAATCCAAAACATTTACAAGGATAGTACAAATTACTTTTAAATAAGCCATGCTTAAAATTAGTTTGTTTCTCAAAATGAATTGTTTATGCTGTATTTAGTTTCTTACTAAATAAATCTAAAAATAAGATCTTAAACTAGAAGCTCATTATAGAACGGTTTTTAAATGAGAGATCTTTATGTCTCAATTAAAAAAACCTTACTAGACTGAACAACATGTTTTCACTTTACAAAAGAACTAAAATGATAAATGCTGCTGTTTCAATTTAGATTAAAACATTAATTTTATCAACCTGAAAACTTCAACCCTTTGATATATCTTCCTTTGGATGATTTCCAAATATTTCTTTTTTAAAAATCCATTGATTTAAAGGTGTTGTCAGCTATTCTAAGGTTTAAATCATTCTAAATCTATTTTTATACCAAGATCTAATTTTTTTTACTAGATCTATATCTCACTTTCCATAATGAAAAAGAAGGGAAAAAAATTAAATCACTGGGAGAATGATAGCCATTAGCATTTTCTTTCAGAAATCTGACACATTATTTAATAAAAGTCAATACAAATTCTATCACTGATTTCAAATGAGTTACTACTGGAGTCTCTGTTCATCTCTAAGAAATTAATATAAAATCAGTGAAACAAAGCACTAGTTTCTTCAGTACAGGTATAAATATCACCTAAAAGAATAAAAAGAAACCCCAACAAACTGATAAACCACAATGAGACATCTCCCACTTAAGACAAAGTTTCCAGCTGTGCCCTAGCTTATGATGCACAGCATTTTATTGCTGTTTTATATACAGTGTTTTGATGAAAAGACAAAATAATTTTAGCTCTAATGTACTTATCTCTAACAAGCAATCACTAGGGGGAGAAAAGGATATGTAGGTAACTTCTCACAACACAACAGACTGAAACACGGAAGTTCTGAATAGTGTAAGCTGAAAAGCACATAGGAAGGAGCAGCAGCTCTTTCAGAGCTGAAATCAGGAAGCCAGGCAGGCACTGGTTTGCAACCAGTACAAATTCGAAGTTTCATAACTAATTTTTGGGGTCAGAAAATTCCCTGTTTTCAGTAAATAATTTTTATATGCTGATTTTACTTCTCACAAACAATGCCCACGCTTTTTTGTTCATTCTAGTTCAATATGCCTGGGGTGACATCTGAAACCTGTCAGACTGCTACAAAAGTGTTATTTCCCCATAACGCACTAGATTTCAAGTGCTGAGACTGAACTACAATAAAATCTGCATAAATACAGGGTCTGGTTTTTTTTATATATATTTTTAGTCAGCACAAGGATTCAGTGAAGGACAAGATTCAAAGGTACTTTATTTAGATTTTTTAACCTTTCCTTTGCAAGAGACTTGAGACAATATGGGGGTGGAGAGGAAGGGAGGCAGTTTGGATACCATTCTTGCTATTCTTTGCAATTAATTCAATTTTAAAAACAGAGCAGAAACAAAATTCAAGTTATAATTCGAGGGTTTTTTATATTTTACTAACTAAACACGTCCTGCTTAACTGGATTATGTAACTTAGCTTTAACAACAATAATATATGAGGTGGTTTGCTAAACAGAATGGGTTAAAAAAGCATAAACCTGTGCTTTGTATTTTTTCAGCAACTCATCTGCTATTCTGGGGACAAAAATAAACTTTCCTTTTCAAAAATAGCCCTCAAGAGCCAACACAGCAACTGAGTGAAGCACAAGAATGCAAAGGATTTCAGCTTGGCAACAGATGAAATTTAAGTCAAAACCCCATATCCCAGAAGGTCATCTTCAACACTGCAGCACACCTCTCACTGAGGCAGGATTATGAGAATGCTTCCAAAAGCCAAGTTACAAGGTGGGGGAAAGGAAAGGAGCGAATTAGAAGACTGAGGAGAGAGCAATAAGGGGTAGTTTGCAACGACTGTAGCTCATGTCGTTGTAGAAAAACATTCAAGGCATAAGGCAAAGTGTGACTCAGCCACAACTGAATGCAGCAAGATCTGCCTAATGCACTAATTTAGATGCCAAAGCTATTCATATTAAAAATATGGTTTCAGAGAAAGATGTGAAATGGTCTTCTAAGGGAGGTCTACAGCTATGTTTCTAAACAGAAGTGGAAAACTAGGAAGACATGGAAGACACTGCATAGGCCTTTAAAAACACTGGATGAAAACAAAGGGGAGGAAAGGGGTAAAATGCACTTGGCTCATTGCTAGGGACTTCACTTATACAAAGAAAGAACCCTACTGCCAGCATTGGTTAACTATAATTAGAACTATGTGTCAGAAATTAATTCAAGACATAAAACCCCCCTTCATAACACCATGCCCTTATAATTTCTATGATATTTAAGCACGAATTCCTTAAGAGTTATTTTTAAATTTCTAATACAATGACATCAGACACAATTGGCCCCTACACTTATGTGTCCTCATACAGCTGGATGACTAAAAAAGTATGTTGTCTTCCAGTCTGGAGACAAATGTATGCAGCTAGTTCGATGGTGAAGCTCAGTTTCACCCTAGAGGGAGGAATAATGGATCTGATAAACTCATTCTCTAGGAAGATAAAAAGCTGCTTCCAGACTATCACTGAAACTGCAGTGATGGACAACTGGGTGATATAAGTTAGCACTGGCTGTTACGGTCTGCTAAATTACTTAGCTGTATCAGCTGCCACACATGGGATACCACAACAGTGAAAACTGAGATGGGTGGGATGGAGAACGAGCATCATTACTTGAGCAGCAGGACTTCATCAGGCTGAAGATGAAGTCACCACCACAACAACAATATATGAGAGTATGAATTCTGTGCACTTATCACTACTAAGGAAGCAAGATATACGAATTATTTATTCTTACTAACAGTTAGTAGAAGACTTGGGATTTAATAGTGAGCAAACCTGCAGATTAAAATGACCATCAAAATGAAAATAGTGCTTTTTGCATATGATTGCATGCCAAAGTCAATTTTGTCCTTTGGAAGTAGCAGCACAAAAGACAAAAGTATAAGTAAAGTGAAAATATCAGAGGACTTCTAGGCAAAATAATGCTGTCTTTACTTGGCTCTTTAGTGGCATAAGATTTCCCAGTGTAAGCTCGTTCCCAGATGCAAGCAGCTGCTACACATGCATTTGTCCAGGAAACACATGGTTAGAAATATACACTCCTAATTTTAGTGAAGATGAATATTTTAAGGCCATCCTGAGTGAAATCAGAATACAAATGTTAAAACTGGCTTCTGTTCAGCCATATACAACGTGACAAGCATTTGCTTACTCTAGGACTGCAGAGGAAGCTTTTAAGACCTCACATATTTCACTGTTTGCTTCGCTGATGCTTTGCAAAAGTCCAGTTATATGAACTGGTTACTACCTCAAATCCTGGAGGGTGGGCAAGGGAATACTAACTCTTATCTGTTATCCATGACTTTTAATTTTGATTAAACCAAACAAGTACCAAGGAACTTCAGATGAGCATGGAGCCAGGAAACAAGAACATGAAACGGAGAGATTTAACTTACAATTAAATCTTGAATAAGTGAAATAGAAAGTATCCTCTTGACGCTGTTTTCCACAATTACTCCAAGCCAATTAAGTGTGCCCCAGTACCACAAATAGCTCTGTCCTCCATGCCAATAGCTTACAAAGGCAAAAGTGAGGGCTGTGGAAAAGAGTGTTCCAGGCAGACTGGACTGAGATCCTCCCATTGGAACATAAATGTACCTGTGGGTGAAATGACACATGAACAACACCATAAGAGATTTCACAGAAATCACAGAAAAACATCCACCACAGAACAAATCTGTTAATTTGTAGCATAAAGAAAGGAAGGTGAATAATTACCTGGCATGGTCTATTTACAGAGCTTGCCCTAGTTTCTAGAAAACTGTAGACCACTACATGAAATATGTGCATGTAACACTTGCCAAAAAGACAATTTTGTGGTCCCGGGAACTCTGCATTAGGCAAATGTATAGTATAAACTATATTCTCAAAATTGCAAATGACAAATATTCAGGGTTTTTAAACCGGAATAGTTGTAAGTCAGCTACAGAAATTACCTGTAATCTTCACATGAATTTAAATTATAAGACTCTAAACAAAAAAAAATTTAAAACATTATATAAACTCATATATAGTCATAAGCTGTTTTCCGCTTGTCAGAAATGCAGATGCATCCAAACATAATTTATTTTTAAAGGTTTGTAATTGCTTTCTTTTTAAATCTTCCATTAAAAATACATGAACTGAAAATATTTCTTATTTGGTTCTTATATTATAGTCTCAGGATCACATCTGCCTAATGACCTTCAGAGCACATGTACCAAAAATAACCCCAAAACCTATATGAAGCATTCCGCATGCAATTATACTCAGTATTTAAACTGAATCCAGGAGTCAGAACCTTAGTCATTAATCAATGCTCATACGTGTCCAGAAAGCAGTACTCCTTCAATAAAAATACCAGAAGCAATGGGATTCTGAAAGCTGACACTGTTTTGTTGGTCATTTCACTTCCATCCTTCCTAAAGAGCTATATTCACTCCTGGCATTTTCTGAGTAAGGCATGGCCACTGGCCAGCCTTTGTATGAAAAAGTTGCATATTTTTGTCAACACTTTGAAGAAGCCCATCAGGCAATGGAGTCACCATCCAGCTCATGGGAACCAGCAAGGAGATGTGGTATATGAAAACTGGCAGTGACAGCTCTCCTCAGCTGTCACTCCTTCGGCATGACACACTGTACTCATATTTGAGACTATTCCTTCTCGCTAAGATAATTAAAGAACATTTTTTGCAGTGACATTTTTATCTCTGGTTATCAGTTTTCACATTCAGAGATAAATATTAGTTCAAAAAATTTGAAACGGAAATTAACATCCTGGTTCATTCCTAATCTTAGGAAGTAAGAAAATAAGTACTGGGGTAAAAGAAAGTGATGAGTGCAATTAAAGGGTAAACAGAAAAGTCATTAAAAAACCAACTGTCAGATGCTTCAAGTTCTCTCTGAACATAACACCAATACACCTTTTTACTTTGACTTGCTATAGGGAACATCTGATTACATTCATCACGTTTTTCAGTATAGGTGTGCTTTTTCACTAAGCATATGAAAACAAATAGATATTAAGATCAATAGTTTCTATTTATGTTGTGTTTTTCCTCTCTCTCCCCTTCCTGTGTTTAAACAGTGTGGCAATAACAGACACTTGCAATTGCAATCAATTACCCTAACAGAGGTATCTTAGCAGTCTGTAACCAGGTGAATTCCCTGCAGGGCTGTGGTGGAGGGTGAAGAGAGCAGAGCCACAGACCCTGCTGCTTCAGCAAATTCCTCCTAAGCAAAGGATTACAAAAATGAAAGACTTGAGCAGCTCAGTACTCTTAGGACAGACTTTCCTAACACCTCTCCTCTTCCCTTTTTAAAGGCTAATTGGTTCATTTTTCAGGCAGGGCAGAGTTAATTTCTTCTCAGTAGCTGCTATAGTGCTGTGTTTGGATTCAGAGTGAGAATAATGTTGATAACACGCTGATGTTTTGGTTTCTGCTAGGTTGAGTTTATGCTAAATCAAGGACATTTTCTTTCTTATTTCTCATGCTCTGCCAGTGAGAAAGTACACAAAAGAAACTGGGAGGAAGCATAACCAGGATCAGTGACCTGAACTAGCCCAAGGGATATTCCACACCATAGAATGCCATGCCCACTATATAAACTGGGG